AAATCTAGTTTTTAAACCTAACCATCAACTGTAAATGAGAATTCTAACTGCTTTATAACTCTCATTTTGTCCTAATCATTAGGTGTCCACCCTTAGGGTCACTTCATCATCGCTCAAAAGTCGTCCATAAATTATAGTCTCACAAATAACGGAATTAAATAAGTCAAATGCGAGAATGGACTTCTGAATGAGTATATTTTGTACACTTACTGATTTAGACAGAAAATCAGAGAGATGAAGCGAATAGAAGAGAGCGGAGGGAAATGGAGAACGCATGTGAGCCAACTCCATTTAACCGAGCGTCAATCAAAATTTTTAGTCACACAAAATAAACTACAGACATGTGGTGAGTAGGATAAGATGTACACACACATACGCTCATATAAAAACAGTCAAGATTGATAAGCGAATAATTAACGTGGTCAAAATATGACTCAAGAAAAATGAATAGATTGGCCTGTCCAGAAGCTAGAATAAGTGTTATGGGCTTAACATAACAACCGACACTACAATTCAACAGAAAATTTTGATAATCGTATACGAATCCTGTGAGAATTGACTTGATACAACTATGTTGTAAATTCACTTGACAATTCTCGAATAGGACGGAGTATCCAAACTGGATTTCATCGATAGCTACAAATCAAGAAATCTTAAAAATGATTACATTTAGATAGCTCTGTTAGGTAGCGTATCTTCCAATAAAGACTGATAAGAGTTCAGTACAAAATCTCAACAATGAGATAATACGAAACCATTTCTAATATTATAAAATATCATACTTGTTGAACAAGTTAGTGGTTATTTAGACTCAGTAGATCAATAAATAACGAATCGGGATTTGAAGCGAAAGGTACTGTGTTCAAGTATTAGTGTGAAATTCTTATTTACGAAATGTAGAAAGGATAGTAATATGAACTGATTTTATTAACTTAAAGCTTTTCATCTTAATGTCTAGTATGATTGTCCATTATAAGTAATAGTGCATAAACATGATCTGGAAATTAATATGCATATTACCAAGACTGATTAATACTAACCCCCACCATTTAAGGAATGACTGTGTTTAAAGTATGATTTTTTATATGGTATGCTATGTGGTCAGTCATCTCAAGTATATTATTGCATGCCTCTTGAGTCACGATGGGAAATATATCTTCTCACTATCTGTGTCTTCTGATTGCTTATTGGGTTAGAAGAACCTCGAGTACTAATAAGTGATACGTGTTGGATATGGTTCATTGGTCGATGTATTAATTCGTTAAATCGAAGGCTACTACTCCTACTGGCCATATAGTGAATTAATCGATAATCGGACTCCTAATTGGTCAATCAGTATCCCAAGTAACAACAAATTAGCAATAACAAGAGAACAATTAAAGAGGTATTACGAAAGCGTTTTGGTTTACAAACCTCAGGAGCTAACCGTTTTTGTCCCTTAACTCTTCCCCGATCATAACCTATTCAGTTTCTCCGTAAATTAGAGGATTGGTGTTAGTCAGTCATTCAGGGATGTTGGTGATCAGTAGGCAAAGAGTCAATGAAGGAGGCCAGTTGAAACGTCTCTCAAAATATTCATGATTTTAGTATCCGAGTTTGATAATGAATTGTTATGACGGTTTCAATAACAACTAACATTTTAACCTGTTTCATTGATGAAGTCAAATGACCGTCGATTGTTATGTATAGCCTCTACCATTTTAATTATTTAACTTTCGTTATCCATTGTGGTTTACAAGCATTCCGTAGACGTTTTTCCAGTTTCTTTTTCTTTTAGTTTTATGACCATATTCAAAACCGTTTTAGAATGAGCTGCTGATAGTCCACTTCAATGAATATCACTTAGTTTTATTATCTGTAACAAATAACTTGCTTTGTACAATATCTTCTTGTTAAAGTAAGACACTGAACATAATCAACATAAAGTTTAACTTGAAACAAACAGATTAAACATATGTAAACAGCATTGTGACTTTTTTTTATTAAACATTCGAATATCGAATATTACATGCACTTTAGCTTATAAACATGAAAAAAAATTTTAATACAGGTATAATCAAGTTGTGCTCATTGATTTATTTAGCTGTTCAAATAAATCTATAATTTATTACATAGAGATTAAATGTGAACAATTGGTAACGTTACAACTTGGTTGCCAGTTATTGTTGACGTAAGATAGGAATCATAGTTTGTTATTGATAATTACCTGTGTTAGAGATAAGTTGTGTGTGTCTAACTGTATAATGATACAACAAATACTTCTTGTTGACGTAGGAATAAGTTTAAAGAACGTTAGAGGTAGTAAAACCAATAATTGGGGTTAATTCATGAACTTACTGACTGCTGGTCTAAATCTTGTCAGCACGTGCGGACAACCTTGTTGAGGTCAACATGATAGTTGTAATCAATAGTTGAAAAAATTAAACGATCTAGTTCCAAATAGGTTGGAGTTGAATAAATGTATTTATTCATTTTCTCCCCTTGAATCTTAATTTTCAATTTTATGTCATACTAATATTTCGTTAATTCATCTGTTCTTTTAAAACACAATCCTCCGCGTCTAACCTCCCTAACTATTATCTTGCAGCTCTCCGCTATTCACCTTGTTAATCTAATTTCGCTATGCTGATATCGTATGGCATATGTATACTAGCTTATACATTATTTATGACAGGCCGATTAATAGTGAGCGTGTTTTGACTATCTTTGCAGGGGATTGTCATATTCTGGAACCATTGATGGGTCAATTTAAGTTCAATAAGTTAACTAAGTTCTGCCTGAGCTGGGTAATAAGCCTACATAATCCCCTAAAATGTATTTGTTTTCCTTTTGGTTTATGATTTCTGAAACTTTTCAACCGATTATCTATCCACATGAACTGAAATAAAGCAACAGATGCTACGATAATATAGCGACTTTCCGATATTGACGAGGTAAGACGATCGATGAATTTGATCATGAAGGGGAACGTTGTAGTGCCTTAGTACTTCTAATAAAGGTAATAAATAATCAAGTTTGAGGGTTAAGATCACCATAAAGTAACTAAGCGTCTAATTAGTTTAGACCGAATCCCTACACATATCATAAATCACACAGTAGTCTTCTCCTAATAAAATTTAAGAGTAGAAAATTATTCCTCAATACTTATTGTATTATGGAATTTATATGATATTGACTAGTGTATATATAATCAACAAACTGTCTCATCTAACGATCACTAGACGTTTGGTGTATATGATGGATTCAACTTTCGATTGACACTGACAGCTATCACTGTGTTCAGTAACTGGTCTGGAGATAGACGAGCCAAGGTGTACAGTTCCTTATCAAATAAAGAAAACTATAACATGTGCCTATGAGCTCGGCCATTTTTTTAAAGCTTAATACAAATGAATACAGCTGTGATGTTACGAGATATAATTGTTTTATCACTATTCATCTGGGTACGCAATTGATCTTCAGAATAATGATATCAGGGACTTGATAGAGCGTTTACACTCATAATAATTACCAATTAGTACAACGAACTATTCTATAGCATAGAAAAGAAGCAAATTAATTACAATAAACGTCGTAGAGGATTATTGAGAACACGTAAAATCCGATTTCATGTTGCAAACAGAACATGAAGTTACTTCCTAAGATAAAATAAGTATGACAGATTGAGAATGAAGTTACTACTAGGACTGATTGAATTTCTCTCACTTAAAAAGTAGTATCATAAAACAATGAAAATATAAAGTGTTTGTTTTTTTTTAATCACTGAGCGTTACATAAAAGTTTATTTACTAGATGCGATAACTTCGAACGAGTCATAGAAATTTTAGTCCATTAATATAAAATGTCTTGAGACTGCGAAAATGGTTTCTTATCACACACACACAGTTAATGAACCTGGCGGATCATGGTCTTCAGTTTCATCGGTTAACAGTTAGACAATTTTATTCTTAATGTTCATAGTTTGGTTGGTAGATAAACATATATATGAAGCATAAAACCTACCTTGTTAACTCAGTATTAGATTACAACTATATTATATTTTTATCTTCTATCATCTGTCAGTTAGTTTGTGGTTGTGTCAAATAAATATGCGTCACTTTCACCGTATTCACCATGCATTCGGTCAGCCTAAATGTTAATAATAGCCATGTGACTAGTATGTTCAGTTTTGCGAGAAACGTTTTCTGTGTTGAAAAATGAAGGCACGCAGTAGGGTGTGATGAATCATTTGAAGTTATTATGAATATGGTTTTGGATAGATACTTAAAATCTTGAAATCATTTATTTAAACACATAAACATTGGTACAAGGAGGCACCAAGTAGATATGCACCACAAAAACCATTCGATTTGTGTGAGGGTTGGGATACTGCCCGGGTGCCCAGACCGAAGCAGAAAATCTTGAGAACTCCTAGCAAGTGTTGTGCTATCAGGTAGTAAACATCCACTTCATTCATATCTTTCTCATTATATATCTTCTGCTAGTACGAGACCCCAATACATTAGGATCTATTATATTTAAAAGCTCTACAATACATTATCTTGTAAAATTATTGTGACAAACAGGTTGTACGAGCTGACCTAGTCAATAACCTGAATTCTTAATCATGTTCCTAATTAACATTTGTACAAATTACTTTATTTTATGTAAAAAACTTATCATATAATTTCGAATAGCTTATTTATTTAACGTATATATGTATGCAGTCGTCGACTGTTTTTCTCGTTTTGTAAAAAGAAACTTGTTGAAATATTTTGTGCTGAGAATTCCATATTGTACTTAATATATGATATTGAATGAAACCATTACTACTACTAATACTAATGAAGGGTTAGATAGGTAGCTTTCAATTATCTCCTTCAATTGATGCTAGTTAAGATAGAAAGGTCTTGTTCAAATCAAACCTTTTCCTTACAAGATTCTATTAACTAAACTTAATATAATTAGTTGTCAAGTATCTAAAATATTAAACTACACTTCAAGGCCGTACAACAACTTGTAAAAAACTGGAAATAAGATGAAAATTAGTAAACAAAAAGACAGATCACAATGGTGTAGCAAATAATAAAGTTATGTAAGATAAAAAAAAGTGCTAAATGTTTTTAGGTATCATGAAAGCATCCATTTATTTTCAAATATTCTTTGGAAGACTTATTTGGATGATCTAGAAAAAAAGCATACTAATATTACGTTAGTAACTTCCTTCAGAAAAATTCTATGAATAAATGGAAGAAAGAAGTCACGAATGAAATTAACCGGTGATCTGATCTTGACCAAACTAAGAGATAACGGGATAGTGATTAAAATGACTATATCATGTAACAAAACAGTTTGTTATAAGGTAAATTTTGAAAAAACGTTCAATGTAGCAAATTATAGAAAATGAAAATAGAAAAAAGCATCAGAAGTTCGTTCCTACTGACCAACTCCAATAACCGGAGTCATGGTCACAAAATTATCCACAAATAAATAGAACAAAACAACATGAAACATAACGTAGTGCTGACTAGGAATAGTAAAACGAAAACATTAGAATAAGGAAGACAGGAATGAATAAGTACCGATTAGTATCCAGTTTCTAGATGGATGATTTAAACTTTATTCGTTTTAAAGAAAATTTCCATTACAAACTCAAACTAACGAGAGTCAATGGAGAGCAAGGCAGGATTGTTGGATGTCATACTGTTTATTGTTGAAGGGTTTCAGTCGATGTTCATTTGTGAAATTTATAGTTAAATGGAATCATTTTATTTAGAAGATAAAAATTGCGGATGATGCGCCCATGTCACTGTAATCCATCAAATAAGAGAACAATATTAGAATTCGGTTCATCTGATAGGGAAAGGTACAGAATTACGCAACAAAAATATACATTAGAACATCCTTTAAAATGCTGATCGAATTATTTTACTTTCATATGACCAACCAGAGTGTTGAAGATCAAGCAATTGTTTAAGCATTTCTTGTAACCAATCTAAAGTAGTACAAGGTCGTTGAAGTATACTATATAAATGTTCTGTATCTAACATTTGTTTAGTATAAACAATAAATTTATTTAAAAATTTATTTGTCATTTTCTTCGGTGAAGTTTTTTGAAATGTTAATGGTATAGTATTAAATTTAGTGTATAAATCATTGTAAACAAGTTTTTGAAATTTACTCAATGACTTCAATTGGATCGGTTGACTACATTGACAATAATGGATATTTTTTAATGATGACTTATTATCACTATCCAATAATGTTGTTACTGTACCAAAATTAATTAAACCAGAACACGTAATACATTTTAATTGGAAATCCTTATTATTATTAGTTATACTATTAGTAGTTGTAATGAGAGGTGACCAATTCTCTATACATGCTTGACATACACAATGAAAATGATATTGCGATTGTAATGAGCTTTGACGTTCATTAAGAGAATGTACTGCATAATGTAAACCATAATTTCCATAAATAATTTCATTTTGTTTAATAGGTCGGATTGAATAAATCGCACATTGAAATTTATCAATTGTTACATTGGTAATATTTGGATCACATGAATGATTGATTAATGACAAAACTGGATATAAACAAGTAGATATTTCAGTTGATGTCAATTTGTTTAAATCTATACCGGGTATTTTGTGTTGTTTATCACTAGTATTATTATTATGAACAGTTGTAGTATTTTCTGTAAAAATATATTCAGGTAATGATAACGAATGACCATTAGATGAGATACATTGAAGATGATGTAATATACATGTAGATGCCCAATCAAATGGCAGTAGTGTACAATCCAATTGACTATTATCATCAACGTCTCTGGTAATTGGATAACCACCGGCCTAAACAAACATAACAAGAAAAATGCTATTAGAATGAATATTAGTTAGGAAGATCTGAAAAGTCTGTTCAACTTCGAAGGTAAATTACATCGTCTAAAAACTTTTGAAGGTGCTGTGTTCTCTGAGGTATATGGTTTATTTTGGAACTGTTGTTGTTATTCTAGACATCATGAGCTCAGGTTTCGATTTCCACAAAACGTCACACACTCATTAGTGACTGATTTCGAGTAAAATTCACGAAAGTTTAGTCAGAAGAGTTCCTTATTAGTGGAGGCTAATCATGTTAAGCATGATACACAAATCACCACAGATGAAAATACTGCGTAGACATCGCGCTTTATCACAAATGGGTTAGGGATGTTAATGTGAGCACAATGGTGGTAGTGTAAAAGCAACTAATTTGTGTTTGTGTTAATAAAATCTAGATCAGTTGGTGGGAGGACACAATGCAGTCACGTAATATTTATTAAGATGTAACAGTACTGAGAAGTTTACTAAAATATCGGGTGAAAGAAAACCACCTTATGCAAATACAGTTGACAGTTATCAGCATACTTTAGAAAAAGATTTTGGATAAATCAAACTTCATCATAGTTTAGGAATTATTAACATAGATTTTTTTAAGGGTCTATACAAGCTTCTGAGTCGCCGTTCTCCCAAATGTGCTATAAATTCTTCTATTTTACATTTATTTCAATTAACTAATTATTTCTGTCAACCATTTGTATTTAAGAAGTTTCATTGAAATGTTTACAACCCTGCAGCAAATTTGACTACTAAGAAACCTAAAAAGCATCGACATGGTGGTTCGTACAATTTCATCGACCTATGTCCTTTGGAGAAACGAGAGAAAATCACTACAGAACACGCACATCAAATATATTGGGCGATGAAAAATAATGTCACGAGACCAAGAATGTTCGTAAAAATCTAAGAATGAATGGTAGCTAATCAGACATCAAAACTTCATATACGTGTATTTCCGAATATTTACAAGGTAAATCCTTGCAAAACGAGAATCTTGTTGGAATTTTGTATCCAGATTTCTTTACTATAAAAACGTATATGGTATTCAACAAAGCGAGCTGATATGGCGAACAATAGCTTAATCGATTAGAGTGCGAAGGATATACGAAACTGATTTTTTTCAATCACAAGTGAAACGCATCCATATCTTAAGTGCCTAATTGCATAATACGGTATTTACACAGTAAATCATCAAATCATTACCGGTGAATACGACTTGATTCAGTTGCCACGTGCAATGTCCGATATCAATACTGATCCCTGATCACCCTAGATACGAGCCCAAACGGTTATTCAAAAGAAAATACTGAGAGTGAGAAAGGTGTTTATTGACTGAACTGTTATGTAACCCTATATATATTTAACGTCACTAACAGTGTATGCCTCACTCTAGGAATTCAAACCATTTCCTGACCAACCACGTGAGCTCATTATCTCGTTGATTTGTGATTGACCGATTGCAAAACTGTATTTGAATTACCTAGAAAATCAGAGTGGAAAGTAGCTGATCATGAATCGTAGAGCATAACAGTATTTGATCTTAATAATTTGTATACAAAATCCGTATTGGATGATTTCAAAAAAACATTGACAACTTGTTACATGTCATAACATCCTTAAATTAATTGCTTTACATACTGGAAGGCAGAAGATTTCGACGAAAACGCATATCTGAGAGATTTATGGAATCATTTTTATAGCTTGAAGTATAAAACCTTCATTTAGATACACAAAACTGTTTCCTACCTAATAATATAGTCGAAGCACTTTTTTAAATCTGGGTTATATATGTACAAATTATTCACGATTCTCTATAATTTACAACTAACTACTATTACAGTTTCTAATTTAAGCTTCTTTGGATAATAGAATATAACATATCAGTAAAATCTACAAAGACAAATAAACAGAACAAATCAGAAACCAGGTATAATTTTAAAAGTTTTTGGATTTAATGTCTATTATTCTATCGATAATAATTTCTGATAGTATATAGTGGAAATATACAACTTACTTCAAGACAAAAAGTTAAATAAACAGCTACAACAGTCCGTTGCCATAAATCACTAGTTTTACGTTTAATTGAATTTGTTATCAGCCAATCAACAGTTGTATAATCATCCCAATTTTGTTGTGGAATAACACGATTACCAGTAAATGATGATAATTCTTCTTTGTTTACTGGGTTTTCATCAATTTGATAAATTAATTTATTTAAAGAAATCTGAAATGGATATATATATATATATATTTGAACACATAAATATTGGTACAATAGAGCGCCAATATATATGCGCCACACAAAACAATGGGAATTCGAAGAGAAGTAGAAAGAAGAAAAAAACTAAGGAACGCAAAAGAAAAAGAGAACAATGACGAAGAGATTGGAGTAAGGTAGTGTGGTAGTAACGACGGAACGAAAAGGTACAATCAGAAGAAATCTTTCAGGTAAAGGAGACACAACCACTTTTTATGAAGAAAGTAAAAGAAGGTTACAGCAGGATCGCCACTGGCTTCTATTCTGAGCCATATCTGATAACGTATCTAGCCACTGTGTAGCACCATCTCTCGGACCCCAGCCAGGGAGTCGTGAAGGACCAACACAAGCCAGTCCTTTGCAGCTTTCTTTCATGCCACGACACCATGTCATGCACTGACCACCTCTCCGCTTCTTCCAACCAGTCCCAGAGTCGGCAAATAATGCACGACGTGGAATTTTCTGAGACGACATTCGGAGAACATGTCCAAGCCACCAAAGTCGATGTTTCAAGATGGTGACACCAACTGGATTATCTTCTCTGCTCCCGAACATACGATGCCGAACCTCTGCATTACTGACATGGTGTTGCCACTGGATGTCAGCAATGCTTCGGAGACAGCGATGATCGAACACAGAGAGTCGTCTAACGTCCTCAACTCGGAGACCAGGTTGCACAAGCATAGAGCAAAACTGCTCTCACCGACGCGTTGTAGATCCGACCTTTTACAGCCAGACTAACATCACGAAGGCGCCAAAGGTGGCCCAGATTGGCATAAGCCGCTCTGGCTTTCACTATTCGTGCATTGATCTCATCACTCACACCCCCACCAGCACTTACGCAGCTACCCAGATACACGAACTTCTCGACTACGTCTATCTGCTCACCATCCAGGCTGAGTACAGGATTGGAATCCTGCCAGTCTTGTAGAAGTACTTTGCACTTGGAAGGTGCAAAGCACATACCATACCTACGGACACTGATTGCCAACTGATTAAGTGCGGATTGCATGCCTTGGGCATTATCGCACAGTAAGACAATATCGTCCGCATACTCAAGGTCGAGAAGTCTTTCTCCAGGCAACAGATCCACACCACCATTACTTACATTCATCAGAGCTGTTTCCAGAATGTCATCGATGGCAAAGTTGAAGAGGAATGGTGAGATTGGGCAACCCTGCCTAACCCCACTGCTCGAATGGAACAATGGAGAGAGGTGGTTGTATGCCCTCACTCTGCCTGAGGTGTTTGTATATAAGGTATTTTAGATGTGAATAAACTTCTCAGGCACACCCTTCTTCAATAGACAATCCCAGAGAACAGTCCTATCCAACGAATCGAAGGCAGCCCTGATGTCAAGAAACACAACGATTGTTGGCCTTTGAAAAGTATGGCGGTGTTCTAACATTTGGCGGAGGGTGAAGATATGATCAATACATATATATATATATATATATATATATATATATATATATATATATATATATATATATATATATATATATATATATATATATAGGGTAATACCATTTAATGGGATCACAAACTGATCTTAGATAGACCAGCATTGAATTTATTTATTTATCTGAACACATGAATACTGGTACAAGGGGGCACCAGATACATGTGCGCCACACAAATCTCATTTGATTTTTGTGAGGGCTGGAATACTGCCCGAACGCCAAAACAAAAGCAGGTAGTTTTCTTAGGCGAATACTTCACGAGCATTTGACCTACAGGTCTAATCCACAAGACAGTGAAGTAGCGTAAGGAGATGTAGTCCATGGTAGCCGGCGACCAACAATTGGTTTATACGCCATTTGTTTCCTCAGAGTACTGGAGCCCATGTGCACCATTGGTTTGGAATCAGGGTTTTCCAACTCCCCTAGGTGAACTCTATGTGTCCATCAACCCGGTTAAAGCGCCGGCATTGAAAACCGAGAACTATTATAAGGCCGTATCGTTCATATCGGGTGTGAGAGAGTTATTTAGAATAGATAATGGAAGGTAATTCAGCAATATAGTGAACTGACTGAAACTAGACATTAACATCGTTGGATCCCGGTTCGGTGGTCTGGAGGTTAGGCGTTTGCGCGCGAGACCGAAGGTCCTAGGCTTGAGTCCTGGATGTTGGGTTGTGGATGAGCAATGCTGAGAAGTGCTATACTATTACTTAAATATTTTCAATGATGGTGTAGCTATGATCGCTTCGTCATCCAAACTATGGAAAATTATAATGGTAATTGTTTTTGTATACTCAAACACGTACAAATATATTCTCCCTCCTAAATGACGTACGATGTTTGTGTACAATGCAACCCACTATAAGATATACGTACCTGGTACTCCGTTTAATAACGAGCAATCCTGAATATTAACGCATGCTAGTTGAAAATATAACTGACGTGAATGTCTCATAGAACTGAGACAATTAGTGGTAAAGAATATTTAAATAAAATTAAGTCTGATGTTAATCAGTCCAAAGTCAGTCCTGAGTTTAAAAAATGAATAATACAAATCTATACCATTACTGATATAAGCATTAAACTCGTTGAACAAGCTATCGGTTGTCTGGACTCAATAGATCAGCAGATAACACGCCAGTGTTCGAAGCAATATGTGCTAGGTTTGAATTTCAATGTGAACATTAACACTAGGTATATCTATCTGATTACTCACAAATAGGACAAAACCGGAGTCCGGATTATTAACATAATAAAATTTAAGTGACAGATCATTGATAAGTATACAGTTTTTTAGCAATCCCAGCTGGAACAATAAATAAATATATTCTGGTAAAAGAACTATTCGAAACAGTGAATGAGAAGGTATGGTTTGTAACGAATTGACATTTGTTAGTGACAGAGAAACACAATATATCAATTTACCTTGATTAATCTATTCAAAATATTCGGGGCAGTTTTAGTTAAAAGAGAAAATGCAAGCCATGAAATATTCGGTCCACCAATTACATCGTCATCAGATAATTTATCAATGAATGACTTCAATTTCTTTATTGATACTGTCAAGTCATTTGACGATTTACTGCGTAATCGTTTCCAACCAGCATAATCTTCTATAATCAGTCGATCAACAAGTCCACATTCGAAACGATGGCACGGTAAAGATAAATCAGCTGTCGACTCTAAGGGCAACGATGTGTTAATATCGATCCATACTGGATTCCAAGCTTCTTGTTCACACAATTCACTACAAAAACCAACCTTCAAAAGAAGTAAATCAAAACAGATAATAAAATTCTTATTCAAGTATGAATTATTAGTAAATGTTATTACAAGCTAACACTGGCTATCGATTAACTACCTAGATTAAGAAACGGGTTTTACCACCTCATTTTAAAGCATATCAAATATACGAAGTTCGGATTTTCTGAACTGATACAGTAAGGTTATTATCAAATTCCAGTTGTGGACATATCACAATATATATCACTAAGTTCGAATACATAGAGAACTGGATTTAGATGGAACGAAAAGACAGTAATATATAATCCACTGAGAGTTTCAGATTCATTATTATATGAAAAAGAGTTCGTACTTACGATGATTAAAACAAAAAAACAAACAACTTTTCTATGTTTGTTTGCTCCACTACGGTTTTATGGATGAAGTTATGTATGTATAGAAAAACTAGACGAACTCAATAAAAATATGACAAAACAAGCACTTTAAGTAGATGTACAAAAATAACTAAATAACTATCAAACCCCATTGATATAGGAATGTCCTGCTTCGGTTTGGACACCTGGGCAGTATTCCAGCCCTCACACAAATTGAATGGTTTGTGTAACGCATATATATATTTGGCGCTTCCATGTACCGATGTTTATGTGTTTAAATAAATAAATATAGGAATCTATGATCACAAAAACATAGTGTACCTATTTACCTACACATATTTAAAGAATGTCTAACTTAAAAGAGAACCATACGGAATTATATTAAGACATTCGTATTAACAGTGTAGTAGGAGATATGATATCTAATACAGCATATCGTGCCGGTTCGGTCACAGATTAGAAAAGTGAAAATATTTTTAATGATGTAACACTAACTGATGAGTTATTAAAAACGATAAAGATCGAGAAAAAGTCGTTAAAAAATTATTACTGTAGGGAGCTCGTGGAGATTGTTGAATGTCATAGTTTACATTGAGTACTGATCTTAACTGAAGAACAAATTAAAAGGAGGAAGCATTAGGGACCTGGTTCATTTTAGTGTAATGAATGAATACTTGGTTAGAATAAACCAATCTATAGTTTCAAGCAAAATCACACACTACATTTGTAAAATATGAAAACAACACATTGAATAGACCATTTTCACATTTTCCTTGAATTGTCTCTTACAAACTCCGTCGTCCTTTCATTCATGTTGTTACAAAAACTGCTTTTGCTTTTCTTCCTCTTCTCTTCATGTTCCTCTTTAGTCAGAAAGAATTCTACTTCCAATTCTTGGCACATACTACTTGTATCTGTCCGTATAAGTAGCACACAACACATTAGTATGGGGCCCTTAAATAATGTCCATTGTTGGAGAGTATTATACTAGAACATAACAGCTATTACGTATTAGTTCGAGATACACTAAAAGTATAGACTTTTGGATTCTTCCCTAAAAAAGTTAATGACGTTGATGGAAAAATCGACAGGCAAATAAAAAGTTAACAGAAAAAACAGTAAAACAATTGATCACCTGAGTACAATTACGGCAGGGTATAGGATTGATACATCGTTTAGAGCAACGATAACAATTGAGTAATAATCTATTGTAATGAAGTCTACAAGAATACGGTTTATCTAGTATGAGAAGTTCACCTGAAAGAAAAGAATTGTTAGCAAGCTGTCAAGTTGAACCTGAAACAATCTGTTAACAGACTCAATTGAATAATAATAATAGACCTGAACTTACACTTTTTACGAGCATTAAAATAATGGAATGATAATAATTGACTAGGTTGTTGATATGGACAAAAATCGAGTTTGATTTTTTAAATTCTTTGGAACATCCTCCAATCACATAGTTTGTAAACGATTCCTGATCATATTGATTTTCATGTTCAAAATGTTGTACGTTATTTAGCCGGAAATAATTAATGCTGCTGATCAATTGCTTTCTCTCTAGGTGTTCGTTTTTCAGGAGCTTTATATCAGGAATTCGACCTCCTGGAAAGTTATCCGTCGACCAGACCGTATTACTGCTTATTATCTGTAAATAAGCATTCTATTCACTAGTTGACCAACCTAGCACATGTGCATTGTCATAAAACTTAAAAACTAAACTCGATAACAGCTCTGGATCTCGGGAGAATGAAGTTCAGTATGATTGTAGTTCTTTGTGGAGGCTTGATCTAGTGGTTATTATAATCGACTTTCAATTAGGAGGTTGTGTTCTTGAACCTTGCTCCACTGCAGTTTAAGTGGCTAAAAATATTATTAGCCCTCTTACACAAAACGTGCTGTCTAAAGCTGAATAAATAAACTTATGCTCATTACTTAAATACCCGAACGTATAAATTACTAGTAAATGTGAATAATTCAAAAATCTAATTCTCCTAGAAATCAATCCTCTACTTATAGCAGCTACAGTTCTGTCAGTGAAAAAATCACTGGTGAAAATAGTATCATATATCAATATTGGTTGTTACACAGTGAAATAATAGCGATGATTCAGGTAAACTACAGCAAATTATTTCTAGATATAATGATGGCTGTTTCAAACCAATAGATTTGTTTCGATGATCTAAATTGATATAAACAACGATGAAATGTAAGTTTTTGCAAATATTAATCGGGTTCAAATAAATGCTATTTGAACACATACGAAGAGAAAAATCGAAAACTTAATAATTTGATCATAGAAAAAGCTGTTTAAAACTTTTGGATTCTTGTTATTAGGAGGACAACAATATTATTATTTCTATAGTTGAGCTAGACTTTTCATTAGAACTACAGGAATTCCATCTTGAAGTTAGTTACTATTAAGCACATGATTATTATTAACTAGTAATTACTTACGTCCAACCACTACCTATCTGGACAGGTGTTGTCTGGTGCGGACTGGAAGAAAGCTAGGGGAGGCAAAACCAAAACGCAATAACAGTCTATGAACCATGGAAATGAAGTGTTGATATATGCACACTATACGGTCAGAGTCCATGCAATTATCGTAACAAGAAGTTGGAGACGCTGGGTGACATAACTCAAAAACCTTCACAATGGAATAGATGTATTCACTCTTTATCTACTCTTAAACCCTGAGTTCAGAAATCTTCTTACACTAACTTCGATTTTTTCTTTGCTTAACCTTTTCTACTATTGCTGATACTATTAATACTTAATGATTTTACCTAGCTATGTTAATATGATGTGACAAGTGAGGCAGATGAATTATGTGCCAGGTTTAAAAATAATACAGTATACGAACCTGGCTGAATATTTTTTGTCGCTACGATATGCCAACCAAATTCATCATTATAATTTAATTTCACAGCTGGTGGATCTTGTAAATGGAGAGAGCGAAAAATGCTTGGATGCAAATTATGATCTGTGATATTACTGCTATTATTAGGATTATTATAATTCTTTGTAATGATCGTTTGAGTGTTTTCATGCTTCATTATTAACGATTTCGCCTCATGTACAAAGTACGGTATAACTGAATTATCAATCAATACTTCATCTTTTATTATAGTTGAACAGTCTTTTATTCCCTTTTGCATCATTTCATTTAAATTATTTGGAATAGTTAAATTTTCAGATTTCATATATTCCACACAGTTATTAAATTCAGTTAATGCATCTTTAAAGAGTTTCAGCGAAATAAGACTTTGTGCACGACGTATAAATAGACGTGGACGACGATCTTTAGGGAAATTATACTTTTACAAAGAAAATACAGTAAAAATAATAATAAACAGCGATTGAAATATATATGACAAGTCATAAAAAGTACAATCATTGATTGATGATGAAACTAAGAGAATGACTAAAATAGGATGGAAAAAAAGTATAGGGTAAAGAGAGATATTACTAACAAATCAATTACAGCAGTTATGATACTTATGGAAAATTATAGCTTAATTTAAACAGTATCAACCTTTTAGTTGAATGACAGTGATAAAATAATCTTTTAACTGAATTTTAATTAATACTCTAGGTGCAAAAATAAAAATAAAAAAAACAGTGAATCGTGACAAATATTAACAGTGTAATCATATCAAAACATACATGTAATTCACAACACAAATAACAAGTAATTACAAAGTTGAACAAGATCACTCTGTATTTTTCTACCGTGACAACACATAAAAGTTCTGTAAATCTAATCATTAAAACAAATATGTATTTCACTAAAATATGTGAATAGAAATGAAGAGATAAACTGTAAAAGAAGGAATGGCGAAAGTTATTACTGAATCCAAGATTTTTCAACAAATAAGTCACATTATTTAAATGATTAAGCCAATCAATGCTGTGGTGATGTTTATCGATTGATTTGATCACATTGTATAAACATTCTTCTTATCTCAGACTATTAGTTCTATCTACCAGTAGAACTGATATGTTTATATGAAAGTTTCTTTTTTTTTGAATTATTCAAGTTTAACGTAATGTAGGAAACTGTTTGTATTTCCAATAAATTTGTTAACCAGCTCCCAATATGACTTAATAAATCACTAATATGATTCTTTTCCAACTAAGTTGTAGGGAGCGAATTAACAGAGAAAGTTAACCATTTCAGTTATCTTAGGAGTCTTATCAACTTGAACGGGTAGGTAAAGGGGAAATCTCAATATGGATACAAAAAGCTCGCGCAGTTCTTGTCAACATTCACCACCTACAGCCTATTGAAAATTGTATGGAGTAGCATATTGTCTAATATTCATGAAGCCATTAACATTTTGGTTTGAATCGCATCATTAGATGCAGGCTTTTCAATAAGGCTATACACAAATGTGCCATAGGTCGAAAATGGTCGTAGGAATAAAGATGAACTAACAATATTGAGAGTAAGTAAAAGTGTGGAAACTTATCAACTCATCAGATTTAAAATCTAAATGTTTAGGATAGTTAGGACACACATCACCTATCTCCGTACACTACAAACTTTAGTTTCTTATAGTAAAACGAAGAGAATTTAAGTAGAAGAGCTAAATTGTAATAAAGCCAGAACAAAGAAGGAATTAAACAAATTAAACTCGACAGAAATGAAGAACTAACAACAGAATCTTAACAACTTACGAATTGTAATCTTGTGAAAGCTAGAAGTATAGAAACACAATGTACATTTATATTACAACAAGATAGAATAACTAACCTAAATCAAAATTAGAATGATTTAGTCATCGAAAATTTAGTACTTAAGTCGCTAGACTGCAATTACATGAACATATATGCTGACATATACCATATTATATAAAAATCAATCGTGAATAGGTTAATATTAAGTTGAAATGTTTCGCATACAATGCCTTGTTTGCTAAAGGCTGTATCCTTAAGTAGTTACGTTTAGTTGCATATTCGTTAACTTTAAAATTTAGTATCACGAACATTTTATTTTGTGATTGCAATTTAAAATACACCAGTACTAGAAAAAAGTTAGTCGGCAAAGAGAAGTGTAAATACTAAATGTATGTTTTTTTTATAACTTGGAAACTATGAAAATACATTTCAGCGTTATCAGTTAATCTACGTTGGTTGAACATAATAAGATAGTGAAAGATGCTTGGAGTCAATTTACTGAAATGTGTCTATAAGGTTTCGCAAATTTGCAGCATTGGAGAAACTAGTGTTCCACCAGTTATCGGAACCCACTTCACGTATATTTCTGCAAATGGGAACATAGCTAGCAAGTGCCGTATAACATAGGTCTAATGTTTCCTGAAAACTGACTTTATGTATCTGAATTACAAACCATAACACAACCATACTGAATTATTTTATAAACGTGTTATAATCTCTTTCTTACGGTATGACCCAGCTATTCCTATTGCTTAATATTCTTGGACACCAAATCACTCGACATGTCGCCAAATCAGAACACGGTTGAACAGGAAAGAGATTATATTCCAAATAACAAGGTTAGATGGAAGTAAGATGCAAGTAAGAAGCACAATAGAGAAAACGTTAGTATATTTATAGTTTTTACATGAGAAGATTCTAGAGTATTCTTCAACTATCGACTAGTGCTGATTGGATAAGAACTAGCCAATCAGCGTGCACCAAAGCAATCGTGCACTGAGCATGCTTTAATCCAGTCTGTCCCGCTAACAAAACGGAACATTAGATTATTAAAATCTAACTCCAATGAACTATTTGCAATACACAGTAACTCGCCGTTCGGATTTGATATAAAATGATGTTATCTTTGGTCAGGAGCGTTTAAGGACAAATCAGGAAAAAGAGAATAATGAAAGAATTTATTAGCTACTATTACCGGTGTTGATTACAGTGAAAACTGTAAGGTTATTTGTAAACATTATTTCAGTTGTTCTAAAGGTTAAGCGCTTGCCACGAAATATGAAAGTCCTGAGTTCGATCTCCGGTGTTGTTGTGGATGCTTACCGCTGAGTAGTCTCATAGTTAGAAGAAGCAACTATCCAATACGTCTCGATTTCTAACGGTTATCTGGTAGATCAGTCTGTGATGCAAACTGGGAAAACTGTGTTAAACTAAATAAGAAGATTCGTATTATAAAACTTAAGTCTAAATCTTCCTAACTATTCCTCTCAATCACTTAACTTTGGAAATAATGCATCACAAAATCGGGTTCTTAGAATAGTGAACACGCAACAAATTGATTAATAAAACTCAATAAAAGCACAAAGGATAACCTAGACATGAAATTAATTGCCACTGAGTGACCAAATATTATAAGCAGCATTCAGAAACAATTAACCTCAACCACCAAGAGAGTGGTACTACAGTTAGCGTGTAGCGTTGGACAGATATGGCGAGTCGACTAAGGAAGCTAAAAGCTTTCATTGACTGAGATAGTTAGGACATCTGTTACACATATCTTCTGATTTCATTGATCTCTTATTTGGTGTTGAAATGAGGTGTGACAACTTGAATAGATACACATCTGAGCGAGATTCTATGATGGCTACGATTAACAATATTATTCGACTGTCAAATATAATAACTTCCAGGATTAAAATCCCAATTTTGAGATCTGAAAAGCTAGGTAGTATATATATATGGTAAAGTAAATCCCCTTAGTAAACTGTTAAGTAGGTATCTAGTTACAGAATATAAGAATGCTTTTTTTCTACAGAACTAAGTACAATACATATTTTCGGTTAGCTTAAAAGTCTACTAAAGTGTTCACTTATGTACCACTCGGTAATAGTGCACCATTTTTAGTTAACAGTGCACAAACTAGTCACAATCTGAATACGAAAAATGTTGAGTGCAAAAACTGTACAATCTCAATTTCACAGTAATTAGAAAACATGAGTCTATACAAATATGCAGTAGGTTCTTTTTATATTTGAATAGGAATTTAAACCAGTTACATAAAAAAACCCTACTTTTTAATTGGGTTCATGAGTTTAATTGAATTTCATAAACTTACTTTAATAGCCAGATCAATATCTTGTAATACTGCTTCATGAACACCGATACGACTTAAAACACATGACCGATTACCATAGCCTAAAGCTTTTTCTTCAGAACTGCTGGCAAAGAAAATCGCTTCAGTGTAGTAACGAAGAGCTAAAGATAAATTATTAGTACGCCATGCTTCATTTCCCTGTTCACGTTTTTGTTTAGCAATGGAATTATTTTTCACAGCTGATGATTGGTCAGAGACTAACAGAAAAGATAAGTAATTATACAATAAAGCAATATTATTTTAAGGTTGATAAATGATTTTAAAATATAAAATAGATTAATTTTGGCTATTAGTGAAAAGTAAAACGCCCATTTCGTCTTATTTTGGACCCGGATAGGACGAAATATGTGGCAAAACGTTTATATCTAGGCAAACGGTACAGGATACATATACGCTAACGAAGACTGATCAAGCTGAAGTTATAAACAACAACAACAGCATCATTTAAACTCTTGTTAACAGTAATATAGTTTAAAAATACTTCTTATCATGGACTGATACTAACCAAAAGATCCCAATAGAAAAGGAAACACTGAATAGTTATTTTGTTCAGTATTGGATTTTTCAGTCATACTGAAATGTATCAGACGAATAACGAAAATTGCAAGTAGCCAACAGAATTCTTTAAAAAAACTAAATAAATCTAAGCTATTCCGTTCATTTTGTTGCTTTTACTTTGTTCAAACTAATGAAGAAAAGAGATTTTATGAAATGAAAATAGTATTGTATAACGCACTACAATATGAGCAGCTGATAATAAGGGTGTACATTCTACTTATTATTCACTAAACTTTAAGTGTAGTTATGGATTTGGTCAGTCAGTATCAACGTAGAACTTCGTACTTATGTACATCAATTCGAGTTGCCATACCACATTAGCACAGAGATACAATTGTCGATTCAAATCCCATAGTGGTAGAGGTAGTAAGAGTATAAGCAGTAATCAGAGAGATTAGGGTTTGGAGATATTATTCAATGAGTAAAACCCAGTGAAATACATTTGAAAAGAGAAAAAAAGGGATATGAATAATTCAAAAGACTAGAATTTGGGAGAGCACAAAAATTAGATGCACGTGAGCCACTGCAAACGATTTTGAGCCATATCATTCAGGATCTCTAACCATCGGTCGCCATCATCTCGCGGTCCCCAACCACGCAGTCTACACCTACCAACATGGCTCAGTCCACTTGTCAGCGACTTCATGGATTTGTGATATGTTTTGGTCTGGCCGTCCGTAGCTTTCTTCCAACCTACTCCTACACCAGAAAACATCGCACGTCGAGGCAGTCGGTCGTTGGGCATACGTAACACGAGTCCCAGTAATCTCAACTGATGAAGTTTCACTACTTCATCAATTGATTTGCCGTCCTTACCTAGTACCCGTTTCCTAGCAACTGCATTACTTACTCGGTGGTCCCAGGATATACGAGCAATGCTTCGAAGGCACTTATGATTAAATACTAGTAACCTACGAATATCGTCTACTCTTACCGGCCATGTCTTGGTAGAAAATCACTTTTTGTTTCATCGTATATATCAAAGGTGTACGTTGCAAATAAGCTTTGGATGGGCTTGAAAACAAACACAGGATGAAGTCTAACTATTCCTGAATTTAATTCCAAAAATGTTCATGAATGTTGAGAGTTGTGAAAAAGGCAACGTTGGTGTTTTGAATCATCGACATCCATCATCTTCCCGAACGACAGAAATGTAGTTTGTAGTTACAAACATACGAAATTCTTACATAACCACTTGCAAAATAAAGATCATTTACTTGAGATTTTAAATTGTCTAAGAAATGGCATTGACATAAACTTCTTGACACGTTCATAGTCTGTTTTACATTCTTCAAACCCAGGAAGCCAAGGTAGATCATACGAGGGTGGACTCATCTCTACAACTGACTCCATTACAAGATCACAAAAGCGGTATAAGTCTTTTGGATTTGGAGTAACCATTTTGTCTACAAAACAAAGTATATTATTATTTGGTGACAATGAAAAACAAGTAAAATAGTATCGTAGAAAAATTTGCCTTATACTAGTTATTTACGAACATACTAATGCATACATATTTATTTATTTAAGCACATAAACACTGGTACAAGAAGGCATCAAACAGATATGCACCATAAAAATCACTCAATTTGTGTGAGGGCTGGAATAATGTCCAAACGCCAAAACCGAAGCAGGTAGTTTTCTTAGGCGAATACTCCACGAGCATTTGACCTACAGGTCTAGTCCACAAGACAGTGGAGCATCGTAAGGAGATGCAGTCCCATGGTAGCCCGTGACCAACAGCTGGTTTATACGCCATTTGTTCCCTCAGTATACTGGAGTCCATGTGCACCACTGGTTTGGAATCAAACAATAGCAAAAAGTCATCATTTCAGGGACACTAACAGTCACCAATGAGGTATGATTACAATCTCAAAAGAGTTTCGCTTTGTGTTTCAAGAGTCTCAAAGAATGAATGATAACTTTAGACGAACCAGCTTGTAATCTCAGAGTATTCATTGGAAATATTAGGAAACAAGGACTTTTGATATAGCGTCAACCGAGGTGGGTTCGAATCTGTTAATATCTTGTGAGATCTAAAGCAAAACGTACTGGTGTCTCATGGTTGAGGATCATATGCCAGTTATAGGGGCTCCTTAACAACCACCTCCCAAAATCTAAAACAATAGCTTTGAGATAACTAGTAGAAAATGTAGATTGTACGTTTCTAATTTGACTAACAAGGTGCCAGTGAGTTTAATATTTATCACTAGTATTTGTCCATATTCGGAACTTGAACTATCAAAAACAAGTTTTGTAAAAAAAAATGCGAAATATTGAATTAATATTTGTTATGCTTAAATTTGTAAAGGTCTGCGTCTATTTTACATGACTTAACGTTTTCTGTTTCATCTATTTAGAGTTGCGACGATAAATCAGTTCAGATATAAATTGTAAGTATGGGAAATAGTGAATGCTAAGCCAACCAAATGACACGATATTGTAAGCATTGATTTCAACTCAATCGAGTAAAACAAATATATGCTAGTATCAATCATATTAGATTTACAATCGTGTACCGCTATTTGGAAATTCAACAGTTTTTTTAACCAGATAGTTCACTTACGAGCAGAAGCGGGCAAAACCGTCGTCTCTACAGACGTTTCAGGATGGTTGCTGTGGAGATAAAGTAGGATAAGCTAGAAATTTCTCAGATGGATGTTCAATATCAAGACACGGTTACTGGAGAACTAGACAAAATCGAAGTGTGTAACAAGTAACTCAATTAAGATAGTATCCAACTTTTAAAAAGTAACTTACATAATGTAATTAACATTCATTAGGAAATAATTCTACGACCAGTTGCTTCTAAAAAATTGGTTACCATCATAATGCGCGGACTATGGAAAATATGTGAATGGTGGAGTTGGATGTAGTTACCTGGGTTTTGTTCAGACTAGGAATACATTGGTGACAAGTTGGGAAAAATGTTCGGGCACCACCACATGTATTGCATGAGAACAATGACTAGTATTATACATGAATGTAATCCTTAGTTTGAAACCTTTATAAGGGAACAAGTTAGACAAAATAAGGTGATACAACCAATCCTTCTACCCTATACTGTTTTAAACAACGAGTATATTGATTACAGGGTTACCAACTCTTTCGGTCTCCATTTAACTTTACCAACAGTAACACTCTACAAGCATAAAATTAGAAAGTTGTGTAATAGTAATGAAAACTATGATGCAACTGAATGGAAACTACTTAATATAATAGCCTGGAATATTTATTGTCCACATAACGTGTGAATAAAAACAGATAAACACAAAATAAACACGTAAAATTTCCTACAAAAAAGGTTCATGAAAGACACAATGATTCCTTTGGAATAGCACTTTATTCACATTTGTTCCTAAGTACACGAACATATATATACACTCAAAAATAAATTTACGAAATATCTGATTCCACATTTAATTTACATACATATATGAAAGGCTCACAAACACAGAGAGAAACAAAATTTCAAATTTAATTGAGCATAAAGCTGGAAATGCAAAATACTAAGTGAAAAACTACAAAAAATTTGATGGTAGAGTAAAAGACAGAAATAAAAGAAAATATAATAGAATCTAGTTAGGTGATACATCCAGATGACATTGAACTGGTAGGGCTACCATTACTGCCACCAACGCCTATGGTACTATTATTAACTATTGTAGAAGTATAATCAGTAGCTGTTGATGTACCTGAAGCAACTTTAGCGTCTAAATAGAAAAGAATGTAAGCTGTATAAGAAGATTTCGAGGTTTCCGTAGACGAACCAAAAAAGTCTTCAATATTGGTGCGATGGATTTTCTAGACGGAAAAGGAGTACCACATTATTATACAGAATTTAAATTTAAATTATATGCGTACACTTATGGTTTTAAAAGAAATATAAAAAGTAATTACACTTGTATACAGTATGAGTTGTGCTAATCTATGAGGGGCTAAGAAACTACAACAATTTATTACATTTTACCACATGGAATGAAATTTAAAAGTGTAACCCGGTGAGTGGCATATGAATAACTGATCCAAAGAATAACAGATCCCGTTAAGAAAGAAAACGCAAACCAATTACCATATGAAGTCTGACCACTAGACCAAGAATGATATTTAAGATGGACAGGAAATATCATCTGGTTTATAAAACTAAAATAGATGGAATGTATGTGAAGCCTTTACTTAAAAAAGAGCTAAGAATTTGCGGGTGTTAGATGAAAAGAAAGTATTTACGTGTGAATGAGTCACCAAGCAGTAAATATTCAGGTTAACTGCGGAGTTTAAAGTGGAAAAGGTAGGTAATCCGGGTGCAGAGAATATAATATCAAATTCAACCCCATAAGATACAAATCTTCATTAACACGAAATCTGATAAGGTAATTAAACTGAATCTATTTTGTCCATAGAATATTAGGATACCTGGCAAAATCATTGGTTAACAAGCGATGGTATCGAACGGTAAAAAGATATGAAATTAAACCATGAAATTAGAGTTCCTCTTAAAAGAATTTGTATGTTGGAATTAGGCATTAAAGTATTGGCTTTTTATTTAGAAACACTAGAATTCCAAACATTGAGTCACTGTTTTCAGCTGTGATCCACCTTTTTTGATGTGGCATCTGAATATCACAGGTACTCAGATAGTTAGTGAGGTAATTAGGAAATCGTAAACGATGTAACCCAAACAGCGACCTGACGGTACAGATCTTTTTTTCTAGGTGGTTGGAACTTTTGGCTCATTACATCATGGGCTATTTTCCTTTTAGGGATGGTATCGATCACCCTATAAACCAGAAAGCCTAATTGGACAAATAAAAAAAGTCGCTTGAAGCTAGTTATAGCATTAAAGAATTGGAATATGAAACTTACTTCAACTAGTTCGTCATCAAACAAAAACCATAATCCATGAGACTTCACAAGTGTTACATAATGTCCACGATTTGGTCCAGAGCCTGAGTGAACGACAACAGCCATAAGATTATATAGACGATCATCATTAGATGAGTCACTAGACTGTTAGTGAAAATAAGTAAGCGTGAGAAAATCAACTAAATCGTCAATAGATGTGAGGAATAAAAAACAATTTATAGATTATGAAGCCTAATAACAGTTTATGGACTCTAAAGTTTACACTTCATCATGCTGGTGTGATATGCAAGCTTGAATCGACTCATTTGTGTTATTTCCTACGTCGACTATGACTGACCAACGTGTCTAAACTGTTCCTAAGTAAAGCAGTTATAAATCATTAAGTTAATGATCCCATGTTGTTCCGATCAAGGATAACGAAGTGTGAAACTGTTTATTTATTTATTTGAACACATACATATTGGTACAAGAGTGCGCCAAATATATATGCGCCACACAAAACAATGAGAATTTAAAGGGAAGGAAAAAGGAAAAAAAGGTAAGGAGGGTAAAAAAAGAACAATAAGGAAGAGATTGGTGTAAGATAGTGTAATAATAATAGTGGTAATAATGCGGGAACGGAAAGGTACAATCAGAAGAAATCTTTCAGTTAAGGAAGATACAGCCATTCTTTTTTATGAAGAAAGTAAAAGAAGGTTACAGCAGGGTCGCCACTAGTTTCTATTCTGAGCCATATCTGATAACGTATCTAGCCACTGTGTTGCGCTATCTCTCGGACCCCAGCCAGGGAGTCGTGAAGGACCAACACAAGCCAGTCCTCTGCAGCTTTCTTTCATACCACGATACCATGTCATATACTGACTTCAGTGGTCTGGCTGGCTCAGTGGTCTAGTGGTTAAGTGCTCGCGCGCGAAACCAGTAGGTCCTGGGTTCGAATCTCTGCCCCCGAATGCCCTGGTATGGCCGAGAGCGGGGTAGGTTCGCCCTCCCTCTCGAAATACTCTCACACGACTACGCGTATATAGCCTTTGCCAGGGAAGTCCTTCTCACTGCCTTCTCGTGGCGAGGGTGTTGTTTACAAAAATGAGAGGACGAAAAGCGAATGTCCGGCGCTTTAACCGGACTCCAAACCAATGGTGCACATGAGCTCCAGTATCCTGCGGGAACAAATGGCGTATGAACCAATTGTTCGTCACGGGCTATCATGGGACTGCATCTCCTCACGATGCTCCACTGCCTTGTGGGTTAGACCTTTAGGTCAAAGGCTCGGGGTGTGGCCCCCTAAGAAAACCACCTGCTTCGGTTTGGGCACTCGGGCAGTATCTCAGCCCGCACACAAAAACATGATAAACTATCTACTTATGAAAGTGTGAAACTGTGGTATTCTCAAACACTAGGCTACATAAATGTAGAATAATCTTCGTTTACCAGTGGAAATTTGTGAAAGCAACTACATGAAAATCACAACAAACACAAATCTTAAGCGAAACTAACCGTATTGAATAGTCTTAATTCCATAGGGAAAGCGACTCTGTAGGACAACTTGATAAACCGATTGAGATTTTCTGAATACTTGAATCGCTTCAAATGCAGGGCCAGAAGTAAAGGTGGCTTTTTAATGCGCATCCTATGAAAGAGAACAAGAAACCTGGTTGACGGTGGTGAAAATCACAAAGGTAAATTAGCCTAGGAGTGGTTACTTTTAACGACACTATTTAGGTAAGGAGAAACCCAAAAATTACTAGAGATGACAAGCTGGAAGGTCTCAATTTCACCAGGTCTCCAAAACTTTAATCTACGAAGAATCCGAACGGTGTCTAGAGATATGGTTTTTGACTGCCGAGGAATCTCTGTGCTAATAACATTTCAGAGGTGATTGCGATTTCGTTTAGATTTTGCCCTAGTTGAATACGTGACGACTGAGAATAAATTAACTTGTAGGTAGTTGGTTATAGTTTATGCAATAAGAGTATTTAAAAGCTTTTGTATCCCAATTGGAATGAAAACACCTTAATTTTGAGTACTAAGTTTTCTGGAGAAGTTTAAGTTTAGCAAAACCCTCATTCTCTTTCAATACCAAATGATGTAATGTACGAGTCCAATGTGTAACGTGTATCTCGAAACCAAAGGAGTTCGTAAAACAACATGGATTACGTAATGTCACTTAGTTACCAGGCTCTGGTATTACCAACATACACTGTAATCTTTGACAATAGAAACACCGACTAAATTTGGACGAACTATTGAACGGCCCGTATCCAAATAAGAACAACTTTACTAATTAGACGTATGGAGTGAGCAGGTATGTCGACTTAGTTAAAGTTATGTAAACCAATGTTGGTTAAGAAATCACACATGAACTCACCGTCTCTGAGCTTCTTGCTTGCAACGACAAAATTCACAGTAATACTTATTGTCTGAACGCATTGTTTCAGTATCGGAAAAGCAACGGAGACAATAAGATATATCAACATTTTCTCCGACATCAACTGATAGATCGAGGAAATTTTCCTCTTTCGTGCGAACATTATCACAGTTAAGGCACCTAGTTTCATTGGTCAAGCTTCCTTGGAAGATCTCATGAATCCAATTACGGCCACTATGCTTTTGATTACTTTCTGAAACATCAGTCATTTCACAATCACTAGGATCTTCAGCATCTTCTACTCCGGTTGGTTGTTGTTCGGCTAAAAAGTTTGTTTGTGATACGTTGATTACCTCTTATTATGTCAGCTATTTTGTTGAGAAGATAATTAAGAAACTCATGAGCATCCTGTTGCAAATAGTTATCAAATAATCCTAAAGTAGGAGTGGAGCGTAAGAATAGATCATACATACCATTCTCCCGCTTCAACTTTTGTATGAATTTTTTAGGGCGCATCTGACCCACTCTTCTTTGCTGAGATACGACTGAATAAAAGAGATCCGAAAGACATGTCAGTAGAGTTTCCTTTTTGGGATTTTTCGCTCGATCATTGTATTGTAAGACCTTGTCTCGAAATGGCTTACAGAAGAACAAGGCCTGTATGACTGAATTGCAGTAGCACGTATTTCCGAACTACGAAATTTATTTCAAGATGGATATGCTTACGTTCACCAGCCCAAAATATCGTTCTCCACTGAGAAGTTGATCACTGGCAATCTCTTTCTCTAACTGAGAGCTGCTGAGCCCCTGACAACATGAATATGAGGTCTAAGTAAACCTACCATTTTTAAGCAATTAATACGAAGGAAAGACTCCAGAAACCTCATAATGAAATATCATCATGATTTTAAAATAAAATAGTTGTAGCGCTAGATCTCTCTTCTTCAAGTGCGCCGTATGTTGACCAATTTCCAATACTGATACGATGAGCTAACTTTCTATTCTCTGAGAAGATTTGGAACGATAATCTGACTTTTATTGTTAAAATCCTTGGTCACTAATCCGATGAAGTGTTTTTAGATGAAATCGAATTCAGATTCAGATTTGTGTAGTAAGGACAGAAGGTCTACAGTCTATTTTATTTCTTTTCTGTGTGCTTTTATGAGTGTCCAGCTTTCTCTTGAATTGATCAGTTGAAGGTGCTGACACCACTGCTTCGGTGCGAAAACCTGTATGCTGCGGGTACTTTTTTCGTTCTTGACTTTTCTACTCGCCTGCTATGTCCTTTGAAATGTCCCGATCTAGTGGGGAGATAAAGAGAAGATATATCATATCCAAAAGCATTTCTTTGTATTCTGTACATCAAAATCAGATTACCTCTTAATTTCCGATAGGACAGAGTAAAGAGATCTAGCTTTTCAAGCCGCTTTTTGTATGGTAAACCCCGCAGTTCTGGAATTGCACGGGCAGATGCCCTCTGTATTTTTTTCCAGGATATCTGAGTCACCCTTTCAAACAGAGGCTTGCAGCCCGAGCGCAGTTCTCAGGCTCAGTTCTCATTAAGGTTGTGTATACTGTAGTGAACATCGTAGCATTATAGCGGTAAATAAATCCCAAAAACAAATAGCTCCGTAAGTCATCGACATTGGATACTGACCTCATCAGTTTTAGTGGACTCACCTGGCTGAGGGCGCTCGATCATGCATCCGCATTAGATCACGAGTGGGAACGCCGTGCTCAACAACCCCTGCAGTCTCTAGCCAGATTAGATCAGACGATCCACGATATATTGATAGCCTATCAAATATATGTTCGAGCTTTCTCGCTTCTGTCTTTTGATTTCACTGGGTGGGTACGATTCATATTAGATGTTACTGGTTAAAGCGTTGTCAAACTCTGAATACTTGGGGCATCTTTATTGGTGAGCCCGACGTGACCTGGCACACTAAATTGTAAACTGTGAGTCTGTTCCTTTTTGAGATTTTATAAATCATTGCTTCATTTTAATTTTTCACACATTTTGATTGTTGTCCGTGTTTTTGGATATGTTTTTTCCCTCATTCATTCTCGTACTTGATATTTCATCATGATGGAACAGACACACAAGGTACTAAAGCTAAAGACCATGTCCCCACATTCGTTTCAACTAATGCCCTTCTGGCCAGACAATATCGAAGTCTGGTTCGGCCACGCAGAGGCCGACTTCTACGAGCACGACGTGAACGACACACGTGCACAATTCCTCGCAGTAGTAAAGGCACTACCACGCGAATTCAACAAGTAAGCAACATCTGGTAGGTTTACTAGTGATGTTTCGGAACCCGACGAAACACTTAAACGGTCTATCCTTAAACGTGGAGACCTAACCTATCGACAAAGGTCAGACCAACTTCATAATAACATCGACCTGCTACACAGTTCTGCGACAGTCATGTTGCAAAGAATGAGAGAGGTTATCGGCCAAAGAACCTTCGATGATGGCTTGTTCAAATAACTTTTCTTATCCAAACTTCCTCAACAGATGCAAGCTGTGCTGGTCCCGTCTCAAAACAGCGCCTTAGAAGAGCTGGCTGCATCTGCCGACCGCATTTTAGAAATCACCAAACCTTCTAATACCGAGGTTTTTTCAGCCAAATAAAAGCCTCAAACGACCCAGAATGACATAACAGAGTTATGTCACACACTTACACGTTATCTTAAGTTTCGTGACGATGGTAAACGGTCACACACCCCACGTAGAAGCACTTCACGTAGGCGATCTATCTCTAGACCACGGAAGACTGATGACCCCGACTGGTGCTGGTATTATAACCAGTATGGAAAGTCTTCCAGGAATTGCAGGAAGCCCTACAATTTTCCCAACTCAAAACCGAGCGACACGAAAAACAACTCGGGAAACTTCCAAGCCGGCACGCGTTAACGGCAACCGTAGCCGGCGAACATAGCCGTCTGTTATACGTCACAAACGTGATAACGAAAGTTCGCTACCTCGTCGATACTGGCTCAGAAGTTAGCGTTCTTCCAGCGAATTCTAACGACCGGCTTCACGAATCGGTTTTAAACTTACAGGCGGCAAACGGAAAACCTATCGCTACGTATGGCAAAAGATACGTTTACCTTAACGTGAGTTTACACAAACCCGTTCACTGGATCTTTGTTGTTGCAGATGTTTCTATGTCAATCATTGATATAAACCTTCTTCAACACCACAATCTAATCATAGATACTCGCAAACGGAGGCTAGTAGACGGAAACACTAACTTATCTGTTTGCGTAACTTCTTTCTCTGGTTGCAGATTATCTCCAGTCACAATTATGCACACGATAGACACATTCTATCAACCACTACTCGATAAGTATCTTGGGATACACCAACGGCAACCGAAATTGTCGTGTGTAACCAGCAATGTTACACATCACATCACGACTACAGGACTACCTGAATTCCCGAAAGCACGCCGATTGGCCCCCGAAAAGCTAAGGTTGGCGAAAACGAATTCGACAACATGATAGACTTAGAAATCATACAACCGTCAAACAGTTCATGCGCATCTCCGCTGCATATGGTTCCTAAAAAGGACAGCAACGATTGGCGTCCAACTGGTGACTATTGGCGATTGAATGAGAAATTCATCCCTGATCGTCTCCCGTCGCCTCACACTCACAATTTGACATCTACCTTGAAAGGTACAACTGTCTTTTCGAAAATCGACTTGGTTAAAGCGTATAACCAAATCCCTATGGCTACTGACGATATTCCAAAAAACAGCTTTCATAACTTCCTTCGGACTCTACGAATTTTTGAGAATGCCTTTTGGTCCAAAAAACGCTGCCCAAACTTTCCAAAGGTTCATAGACAACGTTTTTCGAGGTCTCAACTCCGTACATGCGTATGTTGATGACTGTCTAATAGAAAGTCCGGACAGAGAATCTCAATTCCAGCAACTGGATCTTGTTTTCTAACGACCACAAAAACATCGCATTACTGTAAAAATTCAGAAATACCAAATCGGAACTGACTCATTAGACTTCCTAGGACATACTATCGATGCCCGAAGCATCCGACCCCTTAGAACCAAAGTGGCGGCCATTCTGAATTACCCAGAACCGACCACCATCAAGCAATTACGCACGTTTAACGGCCTTGTAAATTCTATAGACGATTCATACCTAAATGCGCCTTACTCATGAAACGTCTTACCGACCAACTTCGTGGAAATGCGAAATCCATTAATTTGGACGACACGGCACGAAAAGCATTCTCCACAAATAAGGAACTCATAGCTAAAGCAACAATGCTTGCACATCAGGACACCCGAGCACCCATTAGTATCGCAGTACACGCATCCGACTCAGCAATTGGAGGAGTTTTGCAACAATGGGTTAGGCTCTCCTGGCAACCATTGGCATTTTTCTCTGGACGGTTGCTAGACAGTGGATAGAGGTACAGGGAACTCCTAGCTATGTATTTTGCTGTACGGCATTTTCAACACTATATCAAAGGCCGTGAATTCACCCTTTTTACTGACCATAAAACTCTTACTTTCCCTTCAAGCTCCTCTTCAGACAAGTACTCACCACGTGAGTCTCGACAACTGGACTACATTTCGCAGTTTACTTCAGACATTCAACACATCTATGGAGCAAACAATTTAGTTGCAGATGCCTTATCTCGCATAACTTCCTTGAACAGTTTCCAAGGAATCGACCTTCTGAAACTCGCCCTGCTTCAAAAAAGAACACATTGATCTTCAGCACGAGTTATCCTCAACAGCGCTTAAGCTGTGCATCAAACAGATGGGAACAGGTAAGGAAACCTTACTTTGTGACACAATAGTCCCGAAACATTATCGACGCAACGTCTTCAATACGTTGGACAAACTTTCTCATCCAGGTGTTCGTGCAACCATCAAGCTTATAGCAGAACGGTTTTGCTGGCATGGTATAAATAAAGACGTGAGGAAGTGGGCATGCTCCTGTGTAAGCCACCAAAAATCTAAGGTCATTAGACACAACAAATGTCCCTTAGGCTCTTTCGAAACTCTGGACACTCGTTTCGACCATGTTCATTGGGATTTGGTAGGACCTTTGCCAGATTTAAATGGATACTCTTATCTCTTAACCCGCGTTGACCGCCAGAAGCAGACCTATCAGGGACATCACTGCTGAAACAGTGGCCCGCGCCTTCGTCGAACGATGGGTAGCAAACTTCGGCTGCCCTTCAAATATCACCACAGACCGCGTACGTCAGTTCGAATCCGAACTTTTCCGTTGTCTGATCGCCCAATTATGAATCATTCACTTCCAGACGACCGCCTACCATCCACAAGCAAACGGGTTGGTAGAACATTTTCACCGACAACTAAAAGCCTCACTATCAGCTGCAAACGTTTCTCGGTGAACTGACGCTCTTCCACTCATCTTACTAGATATTCGCAATGACATCAAAGTGCATTAAAGTTGCCTACTATAAGGTTTTTACCCCTATTACACCAGGAATTAGTATGGCATAGGGGGAAGTCATCTACCACTCATTCTGGACTGCGATATACTACAACTAATTCAATATCTTGCCGTCAAAATTCCAGCCTGCAACTCACCAGTTTACAAGTCCCTGGATCATGTGCCACCGTCTCAACTGCTCTATGGTTAAAGTACTCTTTGTGTACAGGATAGCCCTATTTATCAGCCCTACTAGATAAAAAACCAGTCAACTGAATTTCATTATCGAACACGTTAACCATGTTTCTGAGACAGCTATCGCATTCGGTTTTTCTATATCCACCATCGTCTTGAGCTTCGCCACTTCATTTGGTAGGCTGCGAACGTTTGTGTAGCAAATCTTTATTTCTGTTGAGAATTTCGCCTTATCACGCATAGTGGTCTGGGGATCGTTTTGCTCCGAAGATTTGCAATTTGAAAACCCTTAAATACAGTTTTTTCATCATGTCGGCG